TTTGTCCTCTGCTCCCCATAAAGGATTGGCACCTTTGGGGAGAGGGTACCCGAATTTGACAGGTACCCGCTCCCACTTTTGCTGCGATTGCCTAGGCGATCGGAAGTGGACGTTGTCCTCCTACCCTCCCTCCTCGTAGTCTTCTGAGACACGTGACAGGCCCCAGAAGACTACAGGGCCATTCACAAAGTGCAGTGCTTCTCACGCATGTGCAGTGGGCACCCCGGCTGTGAAGCCACAAGCTGTCACAGCCAAGTGCCCACACTAAAGATGCCAGGGCAAGAGAGAGAAGATGGCCAGTGAAACTAGTGGTGGTGAGGACCCCGCTAGACCGAGGGACAGGTAAGTGTCTGTATTTTAAAACTCAGACTTTTTTTTGTTTTGTTTTTTTCAGCTGGAACTGCACTTTAAAATTCAAAGCAAACTCACCTGTCCATCCATGTCTCTGTGCTTTGCAATGTTGAGAAATCACTTAGAAAAACACCTCCTAGCATTTCTAGCTGCTGCCATCTTGAGTATGGGCAGATGATTCAAGTAGCATTCCAAGAAACCATCTGCCCTTAGTTCAGGCATGCAAGCAGAAGGGTGTACTTGGCTGAGAAAGCCCCCCGATGAAAAAAAATTGCCCATGAAGACACCTGGCATGTATGATACCATTTTGGCCAAGGCCAGAAACCATGCGCATGTATCACGAACCATGAGAATGATGAATAGAATGATAATAATGATGCTCCATAAATGGGAAATCTAGAATAGAATAGAATATTTTTAAACAATGCAAATCTGCCAAAATATGATGTTGTTAGTGTTATCTGCAACATTGGCCTGCACCACCTGTTCCTCATCCCAAACAATTATAACAGTATTATAATAACTTACTTTCCAGCAATACAGATGTTTGCTGATAAGTATTACATTGTCAAATTGGTGAACTCTCCCCCAATGCTGCTTAGGCAATAGATCCCCAATATTTGGGGGATTCCTCTTTACTTTATTTAACACTACCCCCCAAAGGTTTTACCCCATTCGTGACCAGGGTATTTTTTACTTTTCAGCACTAATTTACCCGGCAATTGCTCAGTCATGCAACACTGTACTTGAATGAAATTTATTACATTTTGTTCACACAAATAGAGCTTTCTTTTGGTGGTATTTGATCACCGCTGTGTTTTTATGTATTGCTATATAAAATTGAACAAATACCAAAAATGTTGAAAACAAACCCCACATTTTTCTTAGTTACTGTTATAAAATTTTGCAAAAAAATAATCTTTCTTCATTAATTTAGGTCAAAATGTAGTCTGCCACATTGTTTTGGTAAAAAATAACGCAAATTGGTGTATATTATTTAGTCTATGTGAACGTTATAGAGACTACAAACTGTGGTATAAACTGTATATTTGAAAACTGATAAATTTTGATGACAGCCTATTTTATTTCTTGAGGACCAAAAATGCCAGGACAGCGCAAGTACCCTTAAAATGACTCCTTTTTAGCAAGTACACAGTCCAAGGTATATAGTAAAAGGCATGGGGAGTTTATTGACATTGTAATTGTTTGTCACAATTTTTTGGAAAATTAGGAAATTTAATTAAATTAGTTTTTTTTTCAAATTTTTTACATACTGCCACCAGTGCAGTACAGTGTCATCATATGACTGGTGTGGCAGTGATACTGACTGGTAAAACCATGTAAAAAAAAAAAAAAAAAAAAAAATTTTTAAACTCTTTTTTTTTTTTCCTTTTTGTTTTTTTACATACTTTCATCAGAGTAGTTCAGTGTCACTATAGTGATCAGGGATTTTTTTTTTCACACTCTGATTGTTGTTACAGTGAGGATCACTGTAACAACAATCGTCTGAACTGTCTTGAATTACATTTATTCATAACAGCTGTGCTTCCTCTAGTGATGCTGTGATTGGCCCATGGCTATAGCATGGTACAGTGCTGTGATTGGCCCAGGTACCATGTGATAGCTATAATTCATAACAGTTTTGTGTACAGAGTGATCATGTGATCCCATAGCGATCAAGTAATACCCCAGCCGCTCAAAGCAGGCAGGTATCGGTAACAGAAATTGTCTGTATCTGCTGAACACATTGGTCATAGGAGAGGAGTGTTGCAGGCACACCAGTGGACATGTGCCAGGCAATGTATATGTACTTTTCTTAGCCTGTCTGTGCTGCCTGCCCACAGTAAAAAGTACTGTGGGCGGGAAGGCAAGTGGTTAAACATGCAGAAACTTGGAAATTGCAGCCTATGCTGCTTTACATTTGGTGACCACCCCCTTGACCAATGTTCACAGGGCATAGCAGAATGCGGATCCTGGTACTCAGGACCTAGTGATCATGTGATTGCTATGCAATCACATGATCACAATGTCACCAAACCTGTTATGAATCAATATGATTCATAACACCTTTGCTTCCTTTACTAGTGAGCTGTAATTTGCCTACAGCTATCACATGGTAACAGGGCCAATCACAGCACCCTGTACCATTCACAGCTGTCATGAACTTGACCCGTTCATGAAAGCATTTCTCGCGCACAATGATTTTCATTGTACCAGCAATCAAAGTGTAAAGAGAAAAAAAAATTCCCTGATCACCCCCCCTACCAAAGTAGTACAATGTTACTATGGTAACACTGATAAAGGTATTTAAAAAGTAGTAAAATATAAACAAATAATGGTTAGAAAATATTTAAAATATTGAATAAAAAATTATTTAAAATTTTTAGTTTTTTTTAGGTTTTTTTTTTAATATGCTGTCATGAGTCAGTGTTCCTTATCATGAAGATGTACTGCACTGGTGACAGTATGAAAAAAAATGTGAAAAAAAAAAACAAATTTTATTTAATTTCTTCATTTTCCAAAAATTGTGACAAAAAATTACAACTTCAAAAAACTTGCCATGCCTCTTATTATTAAATATCTCAGACTGTCTTTCCAAAAAGGGGTCATTTTTTTTTTGGGGGGGGGGGGTATTTGTACTGTCCTGACATTTTAAGGGCCTCAAGAAATGAGATAGGCCGTCAGTACATCAGGATTGATCATTTTTCAAATATTATCTCATAGTTTGTGGAAGCTATAACTTTCTTACAGACTAAGTAATATACACTTATTGGGATTTTTTTTTACTAAAGACAGGATTCATTTTGGCCTAAATTTATGAAGAAATTAGATTTTTTTTAATTGGATATGTTTTATAACAGTAAATAGAAAATATAGTATTTAAATTAAAAAAAAATTCTGTGATATAATAAAAAATTAAAAACTCAGTGGTGATCAAATATCACCAAAAGAAAGCTCTATTTGTTAAAAAAAAATAAAAATAATCTAAATTTCATTTGTACACAGCGTTGCATGAACACGCAATTGCCAGTTAAAGTAGTGAAGTGGTGAATAGAAAAAAAAAATAGCCTGGTCGTGAAGGGAGTAAAATCTTACGGAGCTGAAGTGGTTATTTCATGCTTCCTATTTACCTGCCTCCCCTGTGTAGACATCCAAAAGGTTATTCACCAGATAACCAGATGTATCCATCTAAAAGCACTGACATCACCAACATCTCTCCCCTTTGTTTAGGGAATAGATCCAGCTTGCATATGGTTGGAGTACAAAAGCCTAATTTAGATGTTCAGATAGAGATGAGTTCAGAGGACAGCTGAGCTCATTTCTACTAAAGGAGTCATACAACAGAGACATTTTAGCAGTTGTTATTGTGTATCGCGGCTACAGGAAATAAGGCAGACCAGAAACTGTAGCAAACATACAGGATCTTGTAGAAAGGCATTTCCAACAGGAAAGGAAGTGATAGTGCTAAAGAGGCAAAAAAAAGAAAAAAAACAGAGAGGCATATTAGCAAAGTGACAATAGAGAGAATGAGGGAGCAAGAACATGATTGGTGAACAAGGAAAGGTTAGGATTCAGTGCAGACCTGACCGTTGTTAGTACTTGTACTCACAAAATACTCCTTAATTATAGTGGCACAAATGTCTTACAGACTGTACCTTGGTGTATTGCGCACCTTTCCAACACAGTGCTGGGGCATTTGAAGCAGCTAGAACTCCATTTAAGATCTGTGTAGAGCTTACCCACAAAAGAACTACTTGATGTATCAGATCCTCTTTTCTTGTGCCCATGACTCCAAGAACAGCACTGCTGTCTGACACATCTGGTTGGGCTAAAAATATAGCTTCAGATACCTGTGTGTGTGCGTGTATATACAGAGATCAGAGTCACATGTATAGTCATGGCCAAAAATATTGGCACCCCCTGCATTTCTGTCAGATAATGCACCACTTCATCCAGAAAATTGTTTAGGCATTCTCATGTTTATTTCTTTTGTTTGTATTGGTGTGACACAAAAAATTGGAGGAGCAAAAAGCCAAATCTGACACATTCCACACAAAACTCCAAAATGGACTGGACAAAATTATTGAAACCCTCAATTTATTATTTGGTAGCACACCCCTTGGAAAAACTTACTAAAATCAATTGCTTACTGTATCCATTAATGAGTTTCTTACACCTCTCTACTGGAGTTTTGGACCACTTTTCTTTCACCAACTGTTCCAGGTCTCTCAGATTGGAAGGGTTCATTTTCTCAACTGCTGTTTTGAAATCTCCCCACAGGTGCTCTATGAGATTGAGATCTGGACTCTGCCTTAAACCATTTCTGGGTGCTTTATGATGTTTGCTTTGGGTTATTGTGCTGCTGCAAGACCCATGACCTCTGACGGAGAGCCATCTTTCTGACAGTGGGCCCTACATTGCACCCCAGAATTCTTTGGCAGTCTTCATATTCCATAATGCCATGCACACAGTCAAGACATCCAGTGCCGGAAGCAGCAAAGCAACCCCAAAACATCAGTGAACCTTGTGCTGTGTTTGATTGAAACACACTATATTGCCAAAAGTATTGGGCCAGCCCTCCAAATCATTGGATTCAGGTGTACCAATCACCTCCATGGCCACAGGTGTATAAAATCAAGCACCTAGGCATGCAGACTGCTTCTACAAACATTTGTGAAAGAATGGGTCTCTCTCAGGAGCTCAGTGAATTCAAGCGTGGTACCGTGATAGGTGGCCACCTGTGTAATAAGTCCATCCGTGACATTTCCTTGCTACTAAATGTTCCTCGGTCAACTGTTAGTGGTATTATAACAAAGTGGAAGCAACTAGAAACAACAGCAACTCAGCCACGAAGTGGTAGGCCACGTAAAATGACAGAGCGGGACTAGCACATGCTGAAGCGCACAGTGTACAGAAGTCGCCAAATGTCTGCAGAGTCAATAGCTAAAGACCTCCAAACTTTGTTTGGCCTTCAGATTAACACAACAGTGCATATAGAGCTTCATAAAATGGGTTTCAGGGCCGAGCAGCTGCATCCAAGCCTTACATCACCAAGTGCAATGCAAAGCGTTGGATGCAGTGGCGTAAAGCACGCTGCCACTGGATTCTAGAGCAGTGAAGACGTGTTCTCTGAAGTGTTCCCAATCACGCTTTTGTGTGTGGCAATCCAATGGATGTGTCTGGGTTTGGTGGTTGCCAGGAGAACGATACTTGCTTGACTGCATTGTGCCAAGTGTAAAGCTTGGTGGAGGGGGGATTGTCCTCAACCTGACCTCAACCCGACAGAACACCTTTGGGATGAATTAGAGTGGAGACTGTGAGCCTGTAACGGACCACCCGACAGCACCTCTATCAGTCCCCTAATAGAGCGTCTCCAGCGTGCGGAGTCTAAGTTCCGGAGCACTTGTTCACCAGGGCCCCTGATGGTGGGGATGGACTTGGAGCGCTCCGGGACCAGGTCGCAGCTACCGGATATCTCTATCAGTGGTAGAGGAGTCTGCCGGAGGCTCCTGCAGGGTGAGAGTCTGATGTGAGGGGACCCGGGGATCCCTGAGGGATGGATGGATGGAGGAATGAGCAAGGGCAGAGTCAAACAAGCCGTGTCGGTAGCCGGGGGGTCGGTGCGGTACAAAACAGTAGGCAAAGAATGGTCGGGTCACACGCAGGGTCAATAACAGGAGATCAAATCTAAAGGGGAACATACAGGAGCAGAGTCAGGCAAGCCAAGGGGTCAGGAAAGGAGAAGGCAGCTAGGTCAGATAATCCGGATCAAAGTACTCACAACACAGGTAACAGGATATGCAGAAAGACCATTCGGCAACAAGTGTCTGTGCAGGGCTGGTTTAAGTAGCCCGCCCTGCACCTGACAGGCGCAGCCTAGGTCCTAGTGCCTGCCCAGTACTGTCATAGACGACAGGTGCCCCTGGGTCCTAGTGCCCTGCTGCCTGCATGTCTTGACAGACACCTACGCATGTGTAGACCCCTGCGTTGCGATGGTCCCTGACAGAGCCAGGTCTTCTCGTCCGACATCAGTGCCTGACCTCACAAATGCGCTTCTGGAAGAATGGTCAAACATTCCCATAGACATAATCCTAAACCTTGTGGACAGCCTTCCCAGAAGAGTTGAATCTGTTATAGCTGCAAAGGGTTGGACAACTCAATATTTAACCCTACAGACTAAGACTGGGATGCCATTAAAGTTCACATGCATGTAAAGGCAGGTGTCCCAATACTTTTGGCAATATAGTGTATATGTATATATATTTTATATATATATATATATATATATATATATATATATTTCTGATCTTTATTCTCAGACTTTACTGGACATGGAAGAATCTGTTTGTCCTGGAGACGGAAATCAAGTTTCTTGGAGTTTGTTTGAGGGGATACTTCTCAAACAAATGCTGCTGGATGCTCTTGTATTTCAGTTGACAGTTGCATCAGTCTATTGTTCTGTAACCATGGTCAAACACAGCTTGTCATTTTGATATATATGACATGGTATGTATGATACCACAGAACAATCCGGAGGTCGATTTGTAGAATGCTTCTTCCATTAAAACACATTATTGCAAAAAGAGCCACACCCATGTAAAATGGTAAGACTTTCCAAATAAAAGCCAACAAAAATTGCTGAAAAAGAGGACTCTAAGATGACTTAACACCAAGGAAGATCTCTGCCAGAACCTGAAGACATTTTTGCCCGATCTCCTGAAACTACTGTAGAGTAAGCCTGGGTCCTTGTTGCCTACGGAGATCGTGAATCCGCTCTATCCTGACTTAAGTAACCTTTTAGCATATGCATACAGACTTGCTTATTTGCTAGGAAATAGGTAGCATTGTGCTTGTTATAGATACTGTATATCTGCCAGTCTTTTATTTGTATTCTTATAATTGTAATTGTTTGTATGTACAGTATTTTTGTTTAGAAAAAGCACATTATTACAGTACAGAGGTCTAAGCTTCATGCTTATAACGCAAAGTAACCTATACTAGAAACCGAGCAAAACAAACCTCCACCATGTTTGACTGTAGGGACTGTATTCTTTTCTTTAACCACTTCCAGACCGGACGCTTTTACCCCCTTCCTGACCAGGGCAATTTTCAGCTTTCAGCGCTATCACACTTTGAATGACAATTGCGTAGTCATGCAACACTGTACCCAAACTAATTTTTTACCATTTTTTTGAGACAGATAAAACTTTATTTTGGTGGTATTTATTCACCGCTGGGATTTTTATTTTTTTTGCTATGTAAATGAAAAAGTCCAAAAATTTTGAACAAAAGTGTTTTTTTTATAAAATTTTGCAAATAAATAATATTTCATCATAAATCTTTGCCAAAATTTATTCCGTTATCTTTTTAGTAAAAAAAAAAAAAAAGTTAGTTTATAACCAAAAATTATAATTTTTAAACATTTTTCTTTACATTTTTATTTTTATTTTTTATATTATTATTATTTTTTATTTATTTTTTTATTTTTACATACTGTCACCCTAGCAGTACAGTGTCACCATGGTGACACTGTACTACTTGTGGGGAGTGATGAAGATTTTTTTTTTTTTTTTTTTTTTTACACTGATTGCTTTTACACCCATATACAGTTGTGTCCAAAATTATTCAACCCCCACTGAAATTGAGTGTTTTGGCCAGTTTGACATTGCTTTTGATCATTCAGTCATCTTGCTTACATTTACATTAAAGAGGCACTTGTAGGTCAGACAAATATAACATAACAGTTATAATGAAATAACCACAAATGTCTTTTCTGTGCTCACAGCATTATCAGCTTTTATTCAACCCCCAAGTGACATTCAATCTTAGTACTTAGTACAGCATCCTTTTTACAGTTATAACAGCTTTTAAACGTGAAGCATAGCTTGACACAAGTGTCTTGCAGCGATCTACGGGTATCTTCGCCCATTCTTCATGGGCAAAGGCCTCCAGTTCAGTCACATTCTTAGGCTTGCGCACTGCAACTGCTTTCTTTAAGTCCCACCAGAGGTTCTCAATCGGATTTAAGTCTGGTGACTGCGATGGCCACTCCAAAATGTTCCAGCCTTTCCTCTGCAACCATGCTCTAGTGGACTTGGAGGTATGCTTGGGATCATTGTCCTGTTGAAAGGTCCAACGTCTCCCAAGCCTCAGGTGTGTGTGACGGACTGCATCACGTTTCCATCCAATATCTCCTGGTACTGAAGAGAATTCATGGTACCTTGCACACGCTGAAGCTTCCCTGTACCTGCAGAAGCAAAACAGCCCCAAAGCATGATTGACCCTCCACCATGCTTCACAGTAGGCAAGGTGTTCTTTTCATCATAGGCCTTGTTCTTCCTCCTCCAAACATAGCGTTGATCCATGGGCCCAAACAGTTCTAATTTTGTTTCATCAGTCCACAGAACACTATCCCACAACTTTTGTGGTTTGTCCACATGGCTTTTGGCATACTGCAGTCGACTCTTCTTATTCTTTGGAGACAGCAAGGGGGTACGCCTGGGAGTTCTGGCACGGAGGCCTTCATTACGCAGTGTGCGTCTTATTGTCTGGGCTGAAACTTCTGTACCCACATCTGACAAATCTTTTCTCAGTTCCTCAGCAGTCACACGGGGACTTCTCTCCACTCTACGCTTCAGGTAGCGCACAGCAGTCGAAGTCAGCATCTTCTTTCTGCCACGACCAGGTAGCGTTTCAACAGTGCCCTTTGCCTTGAATTTGCGAATGATGCTTCCTAAGGTGTCTCTTGGTATGTTTAACATCTTTGCAATCTTCTTATAGCCATTGCCCTTCCTGTGAAGAGAAATCACCTCTTCTCTTGTCTTCCTGGACCATTCTCTTGCCTTCACCATGTTTGTAACCACACCAGTAAATGTCTAGAAGGAGCTGAGTATCACAGTCATTTTAAAGCTGCCTAATTGGTGCTTATTATGCTTGATTGCTGCTCGGTGACATCCACAGGTGTTTTCAATACCTGATGGAAAGCACCTGTATGAACCTCTGTTCTTCAGAGTGGTAGTCTTTAAGGGGTTGAATAATTGTGGCAATGAAGAAAACCACATAAGAACCATTTACTACTGTATTACATAAACAATTGATGTCATTTTAGTTGCATTTGGGTAGTTACAACGTCCTTGTAGGATTTGATTCTGAATACAATTCCAAATGTACACTATAGTCCCTAAACCCCTTTACAGCATTGGGGGTTGAATAATTTTGGACACAACTGTAGGATGTAAAAGCAATCATTTCTCTTTCTCTCTGTGTGCATTCCTGCACTCATTGAGAAGTACTGAGTGAGCTGTGATTGGTCACAGCTTGTCACATGGTACAAGGCTGTTGTGAATAGCCTTGTACCATGTGACCTCTGTGATCATTCACAGATTTCACACGTAGTAAGCAGTGATCTCAGAAGTGACATCTTGCTTACTACTTTACATGTGATCACTGATTGGCCAATCAGTGATCACATGATCGGGACCTCGTACAGAGGTCCCGTCCGACGATCGGTGTTTCACTGTGTCCGGAGGACACAGCGGGCACCGGATCGCGGTGCTGCGCGCTCCCAGGGAGCGCGCACAAGCAGGGTGCGGGGAGGCCGTTCATAAAACGGCCACCCGACCCTGCAGTGCCACCGTCCGGCCGTTTATATGCAACGGCCGGACGGGAGGTGGTTAAAGACCTCATTTCCTTTTCTGAAAACAGTAGAATGATGTGTTTTACCAAAAAGCTGTAATTTTGTTTCTTCTGTCCACAGCACAATCTCCCAAAAGGATTTTGGCTTCCTTAGGTGAGTTTTTGCAAACTCCAATTTGGCTTTTTTATGTTTCTGTGTCAGCAGTGGGGTCCTCCTGGGTCTCCTGCCATAGCATCCCTTTTCATTCAGATTGGAACGTATAGTGCAAGCTGACACAATTGTACCCCGTGCCTGAAGGTCAGCTTGAATTTGTCTGGAAGTTGATTGAGGTCCTTTATCCACCATTTGAACAATCCTTTGTTGCAATCTTTGATCAAGTTTTCTCCTTCGTCCACGTCCAGGGAAATTATCTACGGTTCCATGGACTGTAAACTTCTTGACAATGTTATACACAGTGGACACAGGAACATTAGG